AGGACTTGTATCGCTAAACTTTCTTCGGAAAGAAATTATACGGAAAATTAATTAACGAACAGAGACGTAACAATAGCATTATTTGTATCAAATAATTAAAAAGAACCCGCACAACCATAGAACACATTGGGTTTCGTTTAATCAATTTCTGTATAAGATGCTTGTCACCCAGTCCAATCAATAGAACGCAGCTTGTCTGATATAATTTTTAATTAGTGAGTGGTAAATAGTAACAAAGATTAATCATATGTATATAATCATGTTATTCATCTTCTCTGTTAGAGGGCGGTTAAGTATTTGTGTGCCTATTTTGTGGTTGGGCGATTAAAAACCTAAAGTTTTTAACTAATTCGAAATTGGTTATGTAGCATCAAGACTATTTCATAAAACAGATATGAGTACTTTAATGGAGTATTAGACTTAAACATTCAAAAAATGGACCATATTTATTCCGTATGCAGGAAAATACCCTCATCCTCTTTTTATGGAGAATGGTAGGCCTACCAGTAACACTACAGTAACTAATTTGTTGTCACTGCATAATATATACATTTAACTTTCTCATAAATGTATTAAAGTTATAAATGTTCATTGTTTTGTAGTTTAAGGGACTGCGTTTCTTTTATGTAGTTCCCTAATTATGTTCCCTTTCATCAGTCATCTGTGAATTCGTCTGTATTTAGTTTTAAAGACGAAATAAAGTATATACACAAATCGCCTATTCCAGAACTTGAACTTCAAGTTGAATCGTAACATTGATGAATGAAGAAAAAAAAAAACACTTTTTAGATGAAGATGATAACAAGAAACTGAAGTACATTTTCATCAAAAAGTGATAGCCAGCATACTTTTATGTATTATATCCATTTGTTCAAAAGTAGACACAGTACTCTTAAAAATATGAAATTGGTAATCACTGAAGCAGTATGAACTTAAATAGTGTATATATATGTATTTTGCACAGCAAATATACAGGTATTCAATGTATTTCATATTTTACAAATGATTTTATCATACGATTAATAGCTAGGCAAAACTTGAAATTTACCACTCAATAATTTTGTTTATTTTATTTGAAAACCTAAGGCTTAACTACTGTTGGAATCATGAAGTTATGTGTATCATTGCAACATAGTTACACTTGCAATGTTTCATTAACATGTGAATCTTCTAATAATTACAACAGAGGAAATAATTAATAACTATTGTGATATCTTAGTATATTAAGTAGGATGGGACAAATAGCAGTTTTGGCCAGATTTCAGATATTTAGCTCCTGATACCTGATCAGATTTGAATATTTTCAGATTAGATAGATGGAGCCATACATGTTGAACAGATATGAGCAGTAACTTCATTATAGTATAGTATTGAACTAGTTATTTGTTATTGTTTTTTAAAATTTAATAACGATGTACACTGGAATTAGAGTTCCACTTGAATGATTAGCCATTGCAGACCCTTTAAAGGAATGCAACATATTGCAGTGTGTAACTGTGATTTACATGCCTACTGGAAACTGTTGTTCGGTTTGTGACTGATGTTGCTGTGGCTTGTACTACTATGATCACTTGTGGCAGATAGTAGCAACACAAGTAGTGAGTGTGGTGTCCATGCAAACTATGTAATGACTAATTAAATTATGAATACCAGAGCTCCCACTCTTTAAAACTGGAGAAAATGCCACTATTTTAGAAGCTGGTTGAAAGCACAAGAATGCCAACTGATGTTATATACCTATTATATGTAGCTATGTAGTATTTTGAGATAATTCGTTGTTGAAAATGTTATCTGATTATTCATTTCATTAAAAAGTAAATATCCAATGATGCAGTATTAAAGGGAAAAACTTAAAATCAACCAAGTGCTATTTAATAAATTAGTAACAGTTGGCAACATTTAACAAATCAATTTGTGCTTAATGGTTTTCATGATTTAAAACATTGTTAATTTGTTCCTCATCTGCTTGTGGGTGTTTTACATTAATTTTATCTTTTTGAGGGGCGACTTAGAATTGGTCAAGTAACTTTTGAAACATTGTCATGGGAGTTTTGTGTCCCGAGTCGTTAATACTAAATCATGAAAATAATTATAGTAGAAAACTGACAAGCACAGCAAAATATTAAATAAGTTTTAATATTTTGTACCTTATGTTTTGAAATACGGTAAAACTATACAGAAACTGTTGATTTTTTATTCTTTGTTATTTTATTTTCTTGAAGGGTTTCAGAAGGATCCAACTTGTGCTGTGTTTCAAGTCGTAACACCATAGCATTCACTTCAGTTACTGATCTTTCAGACTCTTTTGGAAAAGTAACTTTGATTCATGTGTATGTAGCAGATTTAAATTTGCCATGGGAAGCTCACAAGTAGGTCACTTTCTATCCTTGTATTTTTATCTAAAACATCTTCTTTCTCAATTATTTACTAAATTTAAGATGAATTTTTTGGAGGTTTTTTTCTTATTTTCTGTTTAATTATTATAATAAATCTCTGTTAAGTAATAAAAAGAAAGTATCAAGCTTACAGGTTTTTTCTCTATATATTAGGTTTGTTAACTTAGTTTTCTTTATACATTTGGCATGTTTTTCCTTTTTTTAAAGATGCTATAAACTTTAGGTTGTTATGGATTTCTTTAAATATTGTTGACATTTCTTGAAATTTTGTGTAGTCTTATTATGATATATACTAAGATTTTTCATTAGAATTTTATTTTAAATAAACTTGTATTTCTTGTTTACTATTAAGCCTTCTTAAATGTAATCTACACTGTATTGTAAAAATTATTGGGATAGCACACCTTAGAAATAATAATGAGCACACTGAATTTACATATAAATCCCATAGTGCTTTTCAATGTTGAATGTATAAAGGTTTTTGATTTGATTGAAAATACCATGAGAAAAAGACTTGCACACTTTCCACTGAGGAAATGTTATTGGGTGCAGTATTGATGATATTAGATAAATACATAATACCATTGAAAGTAATCTAGAATAAAGTTCAGACTCACTGTTACGGAATAACAAGTTTATATGGATACAAGCTTTGAGATTTTCATCTGTTCTCTTTCATTCCAGCTTTTGGACTGAAGAAGACTCATGAAATTTTCAGAACTAGTATCAATATACTGCTATTCCCTGATAATGGATCTCAACTTTATATTGGGATTATGGTTGCCCTGACATTATACTCATGTTACTGTATGTGTAGTGCTGAATGCATGGAAGACCAATGGATATATTAATGTGTTAGATTGGCTCAGCAAAACATAATAGACCATTTATGAAATTTTTAATAGTAAATCATGTTGATATTGAATTCCTCACCAACGACTTGAAATAAGGGATGTAACATTCTATGGTTTTTGTGTAGTTACACTTGTAGCCACAGTAGCAGTTAGGCATATAACATTTAATGGTATTAGTCAAATTTTATAAAAAGGTACTAACACATCCACTTTCTGATATCTTTCATGTTTTCACTATCTAAGCAATATTCTGCATTCAAACAATGGAAAGTGTAAAGTTTATAATAACTTTTATTGAATTTTGTTTGCTTACTTATTACTATTAATTTATACAAACACTGTCAAAAGTCCTATGTGTAAGTGCAAGGCTTTGCTCAATGTATAATATACCTTATATGCTTAGTTTACATTAGAAAAGATTTTTATAATTTAGGATAACTCTCCATTCATGCTTATTACAACAATTTATGTAACAGTAGACAATAATGGATGAATGAGCCTTCTAATAGTATATCCTGCTCACTACATTGGTGTCCAGCTAACTGATCTCTCCACAACTGAGTGCCTGTTGTGACGAGTAAATAATAAATTAAATGCTAATCGTTTGTGTTATATGGCTGGCTCAGTGGCTGGAATTTTTTTTGTGTGATTAGTTTGAGGATAGCTAAAAGTATGAGGATGAGATGTTGTTTTAACCATAAATGATATTTTAAAATAATATCTTGTAAGAAAAAGTTCAATAGAGGTTTTTACAGGATTACATGAAGTTTAATTTTATAAATTCCATGCAAAAAATCTTTTCTGTTCTTGTGATAATATGTTGAGATTAAACTTTACACATTTATAGTGTAAAAGGGGGGTATTTGTATGATAATGGTACACGTTATTTATAAAATATGCTAACGATTCATTTAAACAGAAACTCTAATATCTTTAATTGATTTCCTCTTCCATGTTGACGAAATTTTAATGTGTAATTATTCAAGTGTTTGTACAATGTATATGAGTGTATTCACAAAATAAACCTTGGAACACTGAGGGTAAAAGTATTTCAAAGGATTTAAGTTTCCATACAGTACTGTATTTAGAACCTGAAATTAGACTTCTTAAAGTTAACAAATGAAAGAAGCTAGAAGATAGTCACCTATATAGTTACCGTATTTTTCGGTGTATAAGACGCACTTTTTTACCCCAAAATTTTATGTCGAAATCTGCTTGCGTCCTATACACCAAAGGTATGAATAATGTATATGTATATATACGATATACACAAGCCATGTGTAAATATATTTAAATAGGCAT